GCGGCCGCCCCCACCCACTCTCGTGGGTGCCGCTCGCGCTGCCGTCCGGGAGGTGCTGGCAGGGGACACAGCGAGGGATGTGCCCTGTGGGAGCCTGGCCCTGGGAAGGCTGTGTGCCCATCGGGCTCCCTGGGAGGCCTCCATGTGCCAGGCTCTGGGCACGGCGGCACATCCCAATGGCCTGAGGCACTCCCGGATGGCGCAGAGGGTCCCCTGCTCCTGGCCACAGGCAGATCCCCAGCTCCGCATTCAAGCTCACTCCCTGGCCCAGCATCCTCCACTTGTGCCCTGTCCATCCGTGCAGTAATGTCCCTGGATCTGGATCTACAGGGCAGGAAACCCCGGGCCGCTGGCCCTGCTGTGGGGCTATTCTTGGTGGCAGACGGAGCAGGGCTTCCAATTTTGGCCATCAATTTGGGCACGTGTGCCCTGCGCTCCTGGTGCGGGGCGGGCAGGACCTACAGCTATCGGGAAGGGGGTTCTCCTTGGAGTAACATCGCTGTGCGGCCATCCAGAGGAGCCGGTGCTGCTGGCAGAGCTGAAGCCCGGCCGGCCACAGCAGCACGACTGGAAGTCGAGCTGCGAGACGTGGAGCGTGGCCTTCTCGCCCGATGGCGCCTGGTTTGCCTGGTCCCAAGGGCACTGCGTTGTCAAGCTCATCCCCTGGCCGCTGGAGGAGGCCGAGCTGTGAGTACTGGGCTACCCGCAGTGCATCCCGCCCGGAGGCAGCGCGTGGTGGCACAGCAGGAGCGGAGGGGACTGTGCGGTGGCAACGCTACCCTCGCGCAGGAGCTGCAAGACCTTGGAGCGCAAGAGTGGCAAAGCGGAGGCGAGGAGCCGGGCAGGTGCCAAGGAGAAGACGCTGGAGTGCGGCCAGATCGTGTGGGGCTTGGCCTTCAGCTCGTGGCCCCCAGCTGGCCCCCGCACCGCCGGCCTCCCCTGCCTTGTCCTGGCCACCGGCCTCAACGATGGGCAGATCAAGGTCTGGGAGGTGCAGACAGGTGAGCAGCACCGTGTTGGTACCGCAGCCGGGGTGAGCCTGGCTCCCTCCTTCCCTTCTCCAGCGTATTTCCTGGAGGTGAGCGGGAGCCGCTCCAAGGGGACACGGCCCCATCCCCTGTGGCGAGGCAGTGCTGAGCGCAGCCCCTCTCCGCAGGGCACCTGCTCTTCAGCCTCCTGGGGCACCAGGACGTGGTCAGAGACCTGAGCTTTGCTCCAAACGGAAGCCTCATCCTGGTGTCTGCTTCGCGGGACAAGACATTGCGCGTGTGGGACCTGAGCAGGGATGGTAGGAGCCTCTCCCAGGACTGGGTCACCTCGCTTTGGTGCTGGGGAGGGGAGAAAAGGGTCTTGGGGGACAGTATTTGTGGCCACACCCTGCAGTGCAGCACAGAGCCACCATCTCCAGTGGGACCCTGGGTGCAGAGGGGTTTGGGGAACTGACATGGGCCAATATCCCGCCCATCCCACATTCCTCCTTGCGGAAGGGATAATGGGAGTGCGCAGGGGCGGGCCGGCCCTGCCTCTCAGTGCTGCCCGTAGGTGACTCATGCGCTGCTGTCCCCAGGGCGGCAGGTGCAAGTGCTGACGGGCCATGTGCAGTGGGTCTATTGCTGCTCCATCTCCCCAGACTGCAGGATGCTCTGCTCCGTCGCTGGTGAGAAATCGGTGAGTCCCAGAGTGTGGGCGGTCTGGTCTTCCCACTCAAGCAGCCTCGGTCCCCTCCGTTGGGTTGTCCCCGGTGCCATCCTTATGCGGCGCCGCTCACCGTGTCCCCAGGTGCTGCTGTGGAGCATGCGGTCGTATGCGCTCATCCGGAGGCTGGAGGGCCACCAGAGCAGCGTGGTGTCGTGCGACTTCTCACCGGACTCGGCGCTCCTCGTCACCGCCTCCTACGACGCCTGCGTCATCATGTGGGACCCCTACACGGGGGAGCAGCTGCGCACGCTGCGGTATGGGGGGATCTGAGCCTTGCTGGCCCTCCTGGCCTCTGTCCCAGTGCAGGGAGCTGCCGGGCTCCGGTTCCTGACCCCATGCGCTTGCTCCCTCCCCAGCCATGTGCCCCTGCATCCGGGGCTGGAGAGTGGCAGTGACGTCCACACCAGCTCCCTGCGCTCCGTGTGCTTCTCCCCGGAGGGCTTGTACCTGGCCACGGTGGCTGACGACAGGTAAGTTGGTCACAACTGCGACTGGGGGGTCTTCAGAGGGGAAAAGCACCAAGAAGCATCTTGGGGGACGCTGGAAACCTCCCCTGGTGTTCAAGGACCCAAAGGTCTCGTTTGGGCTCCGATGGCTTCTACCCTTGCTCCAAACTTTCTCTTTAGGCTGCTGAGGATCTGGGCTTTGGAGCTGCGCTCGCCAGTGGCCTTCGCGCCCATGACCAACGGCTTGTGCTGCATGTACTTCCCGCACG